AATTCTTCTCGCAGATAGTATGGGTGGTCAACTTTATCAGTCAGAAAGTCCGATGTAATAAGTATTAGGTACTTCAGCTGTCTGAAGGTCAGTTATTTTTAGGACAGCCACACAATTTGAGTTCCCAGATCATTATTTTTACTCATCAAGATCGTACCTGTGAAAAGATTTGGTATGTCTGTACAGTACAAAGCCTGGGCTGAACTCCATGTTGCCTTTGTTTGTTTGTTTTTGTTTGGTTTGGTTTGGTTGGTTGGTTTATTTGTTTGTTCTGATCATTCTGGACTTAGGTTTAGATCCTTGATTCTCACAGAAATCAAACACTAATATGTGCCAAAAAGTGATTTCAAGGCATTAACTATATATGCCATTTCATATACAGTCATTCTATCTTCTAGATGGTATTACTAAAGCAAGTCTTGGCAGAGAAAATTTGGGAAGATCCAGCTGGTCTGGGTAATGAAGTAAATAATATATATATCTCAACATACCCTGAAAGCAAACAGAATATTTAGTCAATGGAGATTTACCCTGGAGTTGTGCTCAGTTTAGACAGTAGCTGGATCACAATAATATATTGAAAAGGTGATTTTGTGAGAACAAAAATCTGCCATACCCCCGCTGCACACTCCCTGACAGCTGTGCCAAACTCATTAGTAAGCTACTGCTGGTATTTATAGCTTATCAGGGTAAACAGTTCCTTCTAACAGGGCTCAAGTTGTAAGTTCCTGTTATATCAAAGGGCACAGGGTTGAGAAAGCCAGCCAAAAGTGGGAAGCTTAGAATGCTCTGCTCAGTACCAGAATTTTGTCTCATCAAAATTCAAATGGCATCATTTAGGGGATTTTAGTGCTGTTTCATTCTACTTTCAGCATTTTCATTCCAAAGAGCAGCTACAGCAGTTTCTAAAGAAAGAACAAAGCAGCATGTGGAAACACGTCATTGTTAGTCCCCAAATTACAATTTTTCAGCTTCTGACTGACTGCCTCCTTCTTCTTACTGTTCAGTCAGGCTTGCCAAGCACTAGGGAGTTGCAAATGTCAAATGTCATCACTTGTATTCACCAATATCTAGTTTAGAAATTCTGACCTAATTAAAACATAGAAAGCAAAATTTATTGTCACTACCAGTATTCTACCATCATGTTCTTTTCTTCATCTGAAGTGTTGCCAGTATTGCCAAGTTCTGAAATTAAGTGATATTTAGGGTTCTATTCCAGCTGGAGTCATATGGCTCTTAGATCTCATGTTTTAGCCATTGCTGTTACAAAGCAAAACTACCCAAGCAAATGCATTTCTTTTGCAGTGATATGATTTGTGGCCAGCAAGTTGAGAAATTACTTTTCAACTTTCAGGGATATCAAGTCTCAATTTTTCATATTGTATACATGCCATACAGCACCCCACTGCCCCCACACCTTCCCTGATGCTGTTCTTAATCGCACATTGCAGATGGTAAGCTGGTATTTCCCTGTCCCAGACAGGCCTTATTTGTTCTGGTGTAACAAGCAGGGCTGATTCCTAGTCATGCATCAGTATCAGAAAAATGAACTGTTTAGGTTTTCATCTGCTTACACGGGAGAAGCAGGTTTGTTCTCACTTTCCAATGTATGCATCCCCATCATAACATATGCATTATATGTATGGGATACATGTAGCCTTGGGACTGGAGCTTCTCTGAGACAGAAGCAGTGTTTACAATTCACTTATGAAAAGGGAAAGTGACAGAATGAGCCAGCAGCAAAACTGGGAGATCTTTACCTCTGGACTATCCTGAAACCCCCAGATCAAATCTACCTTCCTGAAAAAGTGTCCAGAACAGCACCATGAAATCAGGAAATTTCATCCTACACATTAAAATAATTGAGACTATCAGGAAATATAAAGGCTTTATGAATAAACCGACCTTTCTGGAGTTATACTAGAGATTCTTTTTGATTTGCATATCTTAATTAAACCAACTGTGACTGAAGTATTTTATGCCCAACACAACTGTGATGGGCTTACCTCACCTCACGCCAACTTCAAGGCAAGAAAAGGAAGTAACTTTACATTCACTGCATAAATGGGTCATGTGCATCTTTATCACCATATATTGCTGAAATAAGAAAACAAGCAAGTCTCCATAAAAGAGATAATCATTAGTTGTGGAAACATTAGAAATTAGAACAATGCAGGCACAGTACTGAAACAAATATTAAGATTTACGTACTGTCATTTAAACCAATACCTAAGTCCAGAAGATTAGAAAATGTCTTGTACTTTTCTGTGAATGATCTGATGCTGGACTTGAATTTCTTCAATAGAAATAGAAATGTCCTTTCTATTAGAATTATCTTTTCTCAGCCTTATTGCAAAATAAGACAGAAATAACTGTCCAACCCCCCAAATCAGACAGAAGAATCTCCTGCTTCTGCTTACACATGTAGCATCTGTTACAGAAAATGAAATAAATGCCCCACACCCTGAAAATACCTCCATACACCAGTTTCTTTTCACTGATTTCCATTGACTTATGTGAGAGAAGAATGTCTCACAAATTTCTCATGTTTTCTTAGTCCAGCTACATGAAATAATGGAGGACGTATCACATACAGTCTTAGTATTCTGTGCAGACAGGCTGGGGACAATAGACACAGCACGATATGCCGAGGAGTGCCAAGGTTAATCCCAAACTAGCTGAGCTAGCAGATTTCCAGGCCACGTCATTAAGTGCTACCAGTGGTGTCCAAACGCAAAACTTCCTCCTTCATATCCTTAGCTTGCCTGTCCTGGGAGATTGCTAGGAAGAATCTCCACTGGTAAAAAAATAGCCTCAGGCTTTGCTGTCAAGTGAAGATATCCTATTCATTCCTCAAGCCAAGTATTTCCATGTTTTAAGGAATTGGAGAAGTGAAACATCTTCTTCCTCTTATTTAAGAAAAGCCTTAACAATTCCTCATTTCCGTGCAATCTCCTGACCAAAGAAAAGTGGTACTGACTTCCAGCACAGAGGGGAGTTAGGATTCATCTGGACGTTCCTGCTCCTTTTCCCTCATGAAACAACTATCTCAGTTCATCTGCTCCTCTGACTCACTTCCTCCCCACTTTGCAGTCATCCACTCTCAGTACTCTTTTGCAACTAAGCCCAGTCTTCCTTGTCCGATCTGGAGCAGGGTTCAAGGGGAGCCTTGCTGGGAAGTAGGGTAGAACATAACCACAATGTAATCATAAGATGAAGCTCCCAGGCCTTGTGACCTGTGCAGGAGTTTGGGGCAGGTGGACATCATGCGTTTTAATGCTCTTAATGCTAATTTTAAGAGAGCCACAACATTTCATACCAGCAGGAGCTTGTGTTCCTTTGGTGTATGTCAGTGATCCAACTGGCTCCAAGTAAGCTGATAGCTGACTGCATGGCACTGGGGACTCATTCCTCTCCACTGGGTAGCAGTCAGTTGCATGAACAAGGTTCTGTGCCCTGGCTACGTGCAGTGCTGTGCTGACTTGACTACACAACATCTATTTTTGAAGCCAGCTCACAGCCAGCTCAAGGAGCTCTGCAATCTCATCATCTGCACAGCACGGACATGGCCTGCAGAAGCTATTAGAACAGGACTCCAAGGAGTGATGGGAAGCAGAATTTAAGACTAGGCTGCAGACTTCTACATTCAGCACCCTCAGGAGTACTTTGAAACACATAATGATTTATTTACCTACATGTATGTAAAGTGTGCACCACAGCTCTGAATTCAAAGTCAGGTCCCCCACTTTCAGTCTTGCTATTAAATGCAAACTTCCTTGAAGGGAGAAGAACTCTGGGAGTGTGGGCTTCACCTACCCTCCAGTAAGAGTTGTGTAAAATTAACTTTATTCTCGTTAGGACTTTCAGGTGTGTGGGTGTTTCCAGGAATAAACAATACCCAACCACAGAACAACCAGGAAGCTGCTTTATAAGCATACAAATTTTGCTGCTATAAAGTTTATAAATTATATCTCCACAGCCAGGCTGCTGCATTATGCTGTTCTGCTAAAGGACGTGCCATGTGGTGGAATCAATGGGCAAGGAAATGACCACTGCACGCTGGCCTTCACGGCCTTTGCTGAAAGCAAAGGCTGGAAGTACAGTCTGCAATTGCACACGTCGAGACAATCAAATTTGAGCCAGACCTGTCAATCATGCTCCAGTTAGACTGGATGAACTCTGTTAGAGTCAAGGACTGGAATAGCTGGAGGAACAGCCAGTCAGTGGAAAGTGCATCAGTTAAGTAGATATAGAACTTTTGCATCTGCCCACACAAGAAATGATGCTATCCAATACTTTTGTTTTCTCTTTCTCATACCTCCATATACAAAATTAATGTCTTTTGTTACTGAGTATGCAAATAAAACTTCTGAAATTATTTTTCCATCATTATAACAAGTTCTAGGTTCTAAGGTCATCAAAAGGCAGGAAATTCAGGGACAAGTGTAACATACACTGCTATCTCTGAAATAATTAAATTGGTTTTAATGCCCTATACATTGAACAAGGCCATTGCATAGTGTAATCCAGCCTTAATTTTACTTTCTTGCCAAGTTGCCACACAAACCCATTGTATTTCATGGACTGAGTACTTACTCAGTGAGCAAAACAGATCTGTCAGTACATAGAAAATCATGATTTTTTTTTTTCAGAACCATTTCCAGCTTCGGAGATAATTGGATTTACTCTTTTATCTGCAACCTGTTGAGCTGTCTGTACCTTTAGGATCCTCAGCTGACACAGAAAGAGACAGCAGGGAGAATTTTTACATGGCGTGATAGTTTCAGTCTAGGCTTTCCTGGAGACCAGCTTGTAACCAGGAAGGAACTAGAGAAGCGACCAAGGAAGTATTCCATGCTATTCCTTTACATAACCTGAGGTATAAATAAAGCCGGTCAGAGAGACCTCTCTCTCTTCTTCCAGCGAGATTTGGGAACGGTAGATCCCTGTCTCAGTCTTGCTTATCTGGAGCTGAGGCCTGCAGAGACTGCATGTCTGCCATGCGTGAGGGGACAAGTGCTGGGCCGTGTCTGGCTGTCCTGCTTTTCTTAAGGGAAGTGGTGAGATTCTGTTAGTTCTTTATTTTGTTAGTTACTGGTTTTTTTCGATTGTGCATACCTGTTTTGGTTTTGTCCATTTTTGTCCCTTTTTGGTTTTTTTCCCCCTTCCCTTCCCTTCTTTCCCTTTTGGGAGCGATTTGGGGTTCCTGTGTTCATATGTACATAGCACCTTAATTGTATATCTGTAATATATGTAAAATATATATATATTTTATATAGCTCTTGCTATTCCGTTTTTTTTCTTCTCTCTCTTCTGGGAGCTTTTCTTCTGTAGTCTGTGGGGTTTGGCAGGAAGCCAGCTACAACCGGCTACACATGGAGAAAGTCAGGGTAGCTTCATGTGAAGTCAACAAGACCAGACCAGCTTAAGTTTATACCAGATGGGGCTCTGATATTCCTGTCACCATTGGAATTGAAGTTCCTGGAATGAACTTCTCTCTGCACCTTGCTGATTAAAATTCAGCTTTACAGCTCCTGCACTTCTTGCTGAATGAGTTACTAGCATGGAATCTGCTGTCAGCAAGGACTTTAAGCTGAGTAAAACCACTTCAAACAGAGCAGATCACAGAGACTGTCAAATAATATCTGATGACATTATGATAATTAACATAAAATAGTTCTGCAATAACCCACAATGCAAAACCACAGGCAGAACCTAGATGTGTGCTCTCAGAATTGAGAAGACAGGGAAAGCTCAGTCTCCAGCAAGGCTGTGATGGTTCTGCATAACACCTTAAACAAACAGTGCTTGACTTTCTCTAGTGCTGTGTGGAAATGGGAACTTACTGAAAATGTATCCTTAGTTACACTTTGTTGATAGTGTCTTCATCCTCAACTACGTCTCAGGCTTCAGTTTTCTTTCCACTTTTTTTCCTTTCCATCAGATGCACACCACACTTCTAATTGATGCAGCCAGCAAAACCAGACAAATTTCACTCCTCTGCATGCATTATTTCTCCATCTGGGTCATCCTCTGTCCCACTCTGGTCTTTCTCAGGACCAATCATGGCAGTCTGGTAAAGTTCACACTGACTGAAAAGAGGAAACACAACCCCCACTTTTAAAAAGGGAAATAAAGAAGACCTGGGGAACTACACACTGGTTATTCTCACCTCTGTGTCTGGCAAGATCATGGAGCAGATCCCCCTGGAAATTATGCCAAGGCAAATGGAAAATAAAAAGGTGATTTGTGACATCCAACATGGCTTCACTACGGGCAAATAGTGCCTGACAAATTTGGTGGCCTTCTACAACAGGGTTACAGCAGTGGTGGTTGAGGAAAGAGCAACTGATGTGATCTACCCGGACTTGTACATAGCACAGGACACTGTCCCACACAATATCCTTGTCTCTAAACTGGAGAGGCACAGACTACACGATGGATAAGGATTTGGCTGGATGGTCACACTAAAACAGTTGTGGTCAATGGCCCCATGTCCACGTGGAGAGCAGTAATGAGTGGTGTTCCTCCAGGGGTTGATATTGGGATTGGTGCTGTTCAACATCTTTGCTGGCAACATGGACAGAGGGACTGAGTGCACCCACAGCAAGTTTACCAACAACACCAACCTGTGTGGTGTGTTCAACATGCTGGAGAGAAGGGATGCCATCCAGAGGGACCTTGACAGGCTTGAGAGCTGGGCCTGTACAAACCTCATGAAGTTCAACAAGGCCAAGTGAACGGTCCCACACCTGGGTCGGGGCAAGCAACCCTGAGGAGAAAGACTTGGGGGTGTTGGTGAGTGAGAAGCTCAACATGACCCATCAGTGTGCACTCACAGCCTAGAAAGCCAAACACATCCTGGGCTGCATCAAAAGCAGTGTGGCCAGCAGGCCGAGGGAGGTAATTCTCCCCCTCTGCTCTGTTCTGGTGAGACCCCACAAGGAGTACTGCATCCAGTTCCAGTGTCCCCAACATAAGAAGTACATGGACTTGCTGGAGCAAGTCCAGAGGAGGTTCATAAGATGATCAGAGGTCTAGAGCCCCTGTACTATAAAGACAGGCTGAGAGAGTTGGGGTTATTCAGCATAGAAAAGAGAAGGCTCTGGGGAGTTCTTATAGCAGCCTTCCAGTATCTAAAGGGGGCCTACGAGAGAGATGGAGAGGGAGCTTGCAAGGGAATGTAGTGGTAGGACAAGAGGGAACAGCTTTAAATTGAAAGAGGGTATTTATTTAGATTAGATATAAGGAAGAAATTATTTACTGTTAGAGTGGTGAGACACTGGAACAGATTTTGCCCAGAGAAATTGTGGATGCCTCATCCCTGGCTGTATTCAAAGACAGGCTGGATGGGGCCCTGAGCAACCTGCTCTTGGGGAAGGTGTCCCTGCCTGTGGCAGGAGAGTTGGAAGAGATGATCTTGAAGGTCCCTTCCAACCCAAACCATTCTAGGGTCCTGTGAATTCTATGTCGTGGGATCCTGGCTCTCATTGTGCAAGTTAGAGAACAGGCTCCTGTGACTAAGAAATAAAGTGCTTGTCACTTCTTGTGGTAAACTTATGTTTCCTGTCATGTCCTGCTGCAGACTTCTGTGACACTTCCCAAGTTCTGCTGCCTTCAACCAGAAGTTGCTCCCAAAGAGTCTTAATGGCATCTTAAATAATATTTTCCGACCAAAAGAATCCATCTGTCTAACTTCTGGTTCTGAATGAATTTCCTGTAGCAAAGATCTTTCATGATGACAATTTAAAGTAGGACTTTTCTTGTTTAAAAGAGAGTTTGTTCTCTTCCAAAATCTCCTCTATCCCATTGAATATTTTAAATTTTTATATTTATGCAGCAATCTTGTATCCAATACACTACGTCTGCACATTTATACTACCTTAGTTTCCTCTTGTCTTTGCATCAAATTTGAGCACCACTTCTTTTACCTTGGAGGCCTGATACTGATTACATGTTCTCTCTCCAGCCTTGTATCTTAATCTCTACTTACATAAAGACCTCTTCTTCCTCTCCATGCCCTTATCTAAAATACAGCTATGATATCTATTCACACATATTACTAATTCCAAGGTCAGTGATAAATACTCAGAAAACAAAGCAGTGTTATTGAAAATAGCACATCGAAATCCTCAGAACAGTGCAGAGGAGTGTTAAAATGTGGTATTGTATTTAAAAAATCAAGGGAGGAAAATATGCAGAACACCCTCCCACAAAAAAACTGTAGCAAATGAGATGATCCTGGGACCAAGATGATCCAGCCAAATTTATGTCTTACGTTATTTTCTTTACATGATCATTATCAGTCTTTTTTTTACTTATTTACATAAGACCTTAACTCATACTCCTCTGTTCCAGTGAACATCAATGCAGACAATTTTGGAACACCAGTCTGATCAAACAAAATTACCAGAATATCAGAGTGCAGTCATCAGTAGAGTTCAAACATGGTGTGCAGTCCTAGTGCCTGAGCAGTTCATTTCCTGCCAACTTTGATCTGTTTTCTGTATTTACTTCTTATGTCTCTGTCCTCAGTGATAATTACTCTGACTCCTAGCTTTCAAACAAGACAAAAAGCTGAACCCTTTTGTCTCCCTGACCCACAGAACTGTGCTGGGGAAGTGCTGTGGCTTAAGAAGGGAGACAGAACTCTGAATCTGAAATTAGTAGCTCAGTGAGGAAGTGGAGAAACAGGTACAGTATTATTTTAAAACAATCCTCACGAGAGTATTCTGAAAAAAATCCCCAAACAAACTGATTTTTAAGTGAAAGATGTAGGCCACCTTAAGTTTCTGTCTCATTTCTGTTGAATAGAATTTAAAATAGACTTTTCTTTCCCCTCAAAAGTCAGTTTCTGTTCTCAGGGTCTGGATAGACTTGTTGTTCAAGATGAGAACTGTGCTGCCAGCAGCTAAGAAAGAAATAATTAAAAATGTCTCTTACAGAAAAGATTTGAGACTGCCTTTTTTTTTTTTTTTTTTCTCTTGAGGAAGATACAAGGAAGAATTGTCTTGGAAGTAGTGCCAAAGAAGTGTCAAAGAAATAGTAGTAGTAACAGACATGACAAACATGAAGAATAAATTTCTCTCTAGCTTCCCAAGAATAACATTTCCTTTTTGATATTAAACTCAGCCTTGCATAACTCCTCTGCTTTTACCCTTTCTGAACTCTGCTGCAGGGTTTATCTTCACTTATCAGCCTCCCGAGGAGAGCCAATGAACGGAAGGCAGAATTGCTCAGTCTGTTTCCTCAGTGTTCGCCCAGGCTCTCAGCACAGGAAGCCTAGTGCTCTGAAAAGTCAGAAGGAGGAACCTCTTCAGCTTTGAGGAGCCAGTTGATCAGGAGCATGCACAGCTAGAAGACAGGAGTTGGAAAGGGAGAGAAGAAACGCTTGACACTGACTGCTGAGGGTGCACTGGCAGGCAATAAACGCTCCCCATGACCACAGTTAGGTTGGTGTCGGGATGGATGGAGTGACGGAGCTGCCTAAGGCATGAAAGCAGGAACCAACATGAAGATTTCTGGGAAGACTGTGTATATGTTTGTGCTGCTCACCATCATTGTTATGAGATCAGGAGGTGAGTCTAACTGGAACCAATTGGCCATTGGGATGTAAGACTGGGGAATATGCACAGCTACTTTCTTTCTGTAGAAGCTATTCATTGTTCTGTGGCTCTCATTAAGTGCTAAAAATGATGGAGCACAACTAAAACATGCTTTTCCAATATCCAGTCCTGTTCCTCTTTTCTTGGTCACAAAGCTGCCAGGCATTATCCTTGTGACTTCAACGTAGAAACTATTTAGTGGCCCTCAGCTGGGAATGTAACATTTGTCACAAAAAGCCTTTTTATTGACAACTCAAAATCCACATAATCTGAGAAACTGATCCTTTTAGCATATTAAAAATATGCCAGACAAAGTTTTTTTGGACTTGCAGTTTCTGCTGAAGAGAGGCTGCAGGTACTCTGAAATAGGGCAGAAATCTCTTGCATCTTTTTGTGAAGTAGTGGAAGACCCCCGATGCTCTGACAGTAGGGAGCAGCTTCTACAATTTTGTTCTGAGGCTGAGGGGCATGCCCAGTATCAAGTTGGGAAAGGCTTTTGTGCCAAAGGCAGTGGCACTCCAAAGCTTCTGTCTTTTAGTGTAGTTGACTTAGTTTTAATACTGTTTAGCTACAGCGATTAATGTTTCCCACATACTGCTCACTTGCGTTTCTAGAGCTTGTGCTCTTCCAGGCACCACACAGCACGCCGGGAACTTGGTAGTGGATCTAGGAATTTGGGCAGAAGTTCCAGAATCCTCAATTGTCTATGCATAGAGGGAGAAGGCAGATAGGTCTGTGAGATCCAGATTAAATTAGAGACATCTCTAAATAATATGTAATGTGCATGTGTCCATTCCTATTATAGACAGAAGAACTAAACTGTGTGGACATGAGTTATTCCATTCCACTTGACCAGAAAATAAAAATGTCTCCTTCATGATATTTTAAAGCAAAACAGATGCAGTCATTGTTGGCAGTGACAGAATACCTGTCTGTAACGTGTGTGTGTGTGGTAATGAAAGATCCCAAATAGTTACCTCAGTGCTACCCATTGGAAAAACTTGAAATACTTCACAAAAATTATTAAACTTTGCACAGTAACCTCACAACAGGTACACTGGAGGAAAAAAACCCTGTCCCTTTCCTGTAGATAAAGAACTATCTCAAAAGAATACTGAGGAACCTGCTCAAGATCATGCAGATAGATTATGGTAAGCATCAGAGACAGCCAACATTTTTGAATATAGCTGCTGGAAAAGTAAAGGAGTATGAATACACCACAAAATGTTGAAGAAAATGGGGAGACAAAGGGGAATAAACTTGGCAAAAATTCTTTTTGAAAACTGACTTTACTGGAAATATTTTAAAAAGTCCAATGCCAAAAAGTGGATATTTTTCACCCAATGGTATTTCGATTTCAACTTCTTGGTGTCTTGGTTAATCAACTATGTTGCCCTTCAAAGAATGTAGAAAAAGGTGTTCAGTTAAAATGTAATTTCATGCCTGAAACCTCCCCTGCCACCCGCATCCTGCTCCCAATAAAAAGCAGCCCACATTTGATGGGAATTTTTTAGCTAATGCTGCTCTTAAACTTGTTTCCTTCATTATTAGGGTGATTCTTCTAAGCAAGATCTAGTGACAAGGGGTTTTTTTCTTCAGAGATCACAGGCTAAATATGTCAAACTGATCCAATGAGCGCATTCTCTCCAGAGAATTCTAGTGTTATATGAAGCTCAGAAGGAACTATGTGCCCCCTTCTGAAGACTAGAGCAAGCTACTCTAATCTAAATAAGGTCATGCAAAAACTGTTGTGTGTAACCAGGCTTTATCTCCATTAACATTTTCCTTAACATTTCCTTAGTGAGTTGTTTTGTATGATTGGGTTAGTTTTTACAACAGCAGAAGGGGCAGCTCAGAAGTAAGGCTGAGGTTGCTTCATAATTATTGCATCTGCCCTCAGGTAGAATTGGATAATATGCTACTGAGGCTGCTGATGCATGATCTCTACTAACAATCATGTTGTGGCAATCCTCACAGTAGTGGTATAGAAAATAAAAATCTTTTTGGTAATGCTTTGAAGATTTCTAGCACACAGAACAACTTAAGTGGTTGTGTACACACTCCAAAGGAAAGTGGTGAGAAAAGGTAAGATCTTCCATGAGAAGTTCATGCAACAAATCTCTTTTTATTGAAATAACATTTGCAGTGTTGGGCTGTTAAGTCCTGCATCTGCAGTTGTATCTTGTGACAATAGATATGTCCAAGTGCTCCAGAGGAAGCTGCAAGAAATCCATTGCCAGTAAGGAGATGTGATTCTCTACGGTTGTTCGGTTTCATTAGTAGTGAAAAACTGAAGTCAGTAATATTGTATCAGTGCTGGAATTGTAGAGCATGAGATGAATAAAAGTGAAGTCAATTTACAGAGCAACCTAGGTACAGTTCAAGTTTACCTACATACTTAACCTTCTTGAATGCTACTACTGTCATTTAGTTTCTTTCCTTAATAAAGCTGGTAAATTCTTTTTCACTAGGGTACTAGTGTTTTATTGCTTTTTTACTGTCTCTGTCGTAGTGTATTTCACTGCTTCTGTCTCTGTTGCCTTCTTTTCTAGTTTGTGATGGAGTCTTGCACTAGATACAAAAAAAATCATAGCCTAAAAAAACTATTATGGTAATCTTACAGTTGTCTCCGTTTCACTATTTTTTTGCTACCCCCTGGGACTATGTGCTGGAATCATTGTGACTTTTTTTACCCTAAAAACATCTGAATCCTAACGGATGGGTTTTCTCACCCAAATTCTTAAAACAGAATTTTGTACTGAATTTCCACTAAGCAAAACTTTTCTTGGAACACATCTAAATTACCATAGTTCAATCTTCAAAGCACGTCCTTGTGATACCAACATTTTGCTGTACTGTGGTCCAAACACATTGAATGCATTTGCATCTGAACGTTAAAACCATGGAAAAAAGGAAGCTCAGTCTTGCAAGCTGACCACATACTCCATGAACTACAAAGCAAGCAGATTTTCTTTAACTGTGAATGCACTTGTAGAGGTATGTGATACTTAAAACACACAGTTGGTATATTTTGTATTTAGAAGTATAATCATTCATAAGAAAACAAGCATAGGGTATCTTCTTGTGCTGCCTTATCTTTGTACTGAATAAGAAAATGCTAGGACAAAAACCACTATGCTAAAGCTAAGCACTGAACAAGGTATGACTGAGATTTTAACTGTATAAAAGTGAGATTATAGCCATGTTTTCATAGCAGTCCCTCATCTGCTCTCTGCAAACTATGAAAAAGAAAGCATACAAGCTACTGTTTGCAGTCAATGATCTGTTTTTTGTTTAGAATAGCAGGAAAACGCCTCTCAAGCACAAATAAACAGTACTTTTTTTGTTTTTCTTCTCATGTGGCAGACAGTAATGCAGAACCAAATAATGCAGTTCAGCATGCAGAACCAAATATAAAACAATCTGTATCTGTTTCTATACTGAGAAGTTGGAGGCACTTTGTTACACATAGTGTCACAGCGCTACTCAGAAAAAAATACTACCCAAGGCATTTTGTCATCCAGTATAAATCCTTTTTCCCCTCATCCATTCCAGCTCACATTCTGCAAGGACAAAGATCTTTGCATATAGAAGTTACCATACCAAGTTCAAAGTTTACAACCAGACTGATACAATATGTGACAGCTTGTTAAGTTCAGTGATGATTTATTATCAGCTGAGGATTTGGCCAACGGTGTTTGTTCTCTAAGCTGCATGACTGACACATCATTTAAGCACCAACAAATTCCTTCATTAAAGAAGCGTATCTATCCTTTTTTTCTAGAAAGTCATATGTATATTGAGACATAACCCATTTAATTGAGAGTAATCACTGAATCACGGGATCAAATTGCAGTGCTGAAATGAAATTAAATTGCCTTTTTTTTTTTCAGACGTATCACAAAACACTTTTCATAAACAATTTGAGCACCAAAAAAGCACCCACTTTATTGAAAGGCTATTTTTAATCCTGGTTGAGGCAAGATTCTCTATTCTAAGTTCCAGTCTAAATTTGTAATACTACTTATTTTTATTATTATTACATTTTGAGCTGCTGAATTTCAGCACACATCTGTCATTCTACTCATCAAGGTCAACTGGTCCTTTTTGTATGACAGATCAATTCTTTATACTAGTAACACTGTATTCTTCCTGCTTTTAACAAATTTCCTCAAACAGCCAATGCCATTAGTAAAATGATCAAATGCAATTATGGCAAAAAACATCTGCTGAGAAACACTATTAGCAAGCTACTTTCAACTTGACACCTTTTAACACTGCCTTTACTTTCTTTCCTTAATCCAGTTCTTAATCCATCATGTTTCCCTTCAGTTGTCCTTCTATTCTTCAGCTTAATTTTTTTCAAGAGGACACTGTATCAAACCACATCTCTTAATTAGGTGTGCTTTAACATCATTTCTTTTCCTTCAAAATTAGCTGTCTTGAATGACTGTTTGAAATTACACTAGAGAAAGCTTATGATCTATGAAAGATCATAGAAAAATGAAAAACTGGAACTGGCGAATGCAAAGGTATATTCCAGCTTGAATGGGAAGACTGAAACCTTGGGATCATTGTTGAGTTCTGTCAGTGTCCTCACCTCTCTGCGACACATAAAGTCATATTGAAGTTTGCAACATAAAAAAAAAAATCCAGCCATGCTGGGGGCACTTCATATTGGAAAACCAGTGACAAAGTGTGTAAGGTTGCTATTTTGGCTTGTATGAAACAGCAGGAAAGAATGGCACAGTAATGGGGGCAAGAAAAGCACTGCAAGTGACATGGTAATAGTTGCAGAAAAGAAATGTGTTAAAAGGAGAACAAAATAAGAATTCGACTATGAGGAAGAAAAGAATATCTGAACATAAGAAAAAAGCCTAACTAAAGGAAATGGGAATAGGAGATATTTTCAAGGAATAATGATAAGTATGGATAAAAGAGTGTGAGTGTGAAACTAGCGATTAAGGTATAAG